TATGATTAAAAATGGTTGCCTATGTAAAGTCTTTGAGATCTTTGGACATCAAGGTACTGAAACCCCTAGATACGTCGATTTGGCACTGACTGATTAAATACTACATTTTTAGAAGATGTGTATTACTAATAACACTTGCTAGAGGGCTAAAGCTAAAAGCGTTTAAAAATCTAAGGTCTCCCTGTTCTTGGTATTTGTTTGATTTTTGCATTTTACTCCATTTCAAGGATGTAAATAGACCAGATAGTTTCAGTTTAGTTTTGTAGTCTGTTTCTAGTCAGTTATTTTCATGTTCTCCTACACCAGTATGCTGCAATGTTTTTGTTGGAAACACTGTCAGGGAATGTTAACTTGTTTTATACATTATTTTTTTTTTTTTAAAGAGAGAAAGAAAAAGCTTCTGTTAAAGACCAACTTATGGAAACATTCCTGTGGGTCTTAGATATTTTAAAATTTTGCTGATACAAAACCTAAACCTGAAACCAGATTTGACAAGGCAGTCCCTTTTGGCTGTGTCTACACTGAGCTGCTTTTTTTTTTTTTCCCTACAATTGCCACTCCACTGATGGTACCAGTGGTGGGAGCATTAGAACAGACAAGGCACCCTGTGCACTTTCCATCATGTCGTCTAACCCTACTCAGAGCATGTTTAGGCAACACAGTAATGCTAGCGGATTTCAGCACCTCATCTATGCTAGAGGCTCCCCCATTGGAGCTGCAATTGTGGTATTGCAACAATGGGAAATTCTTATGCTGCAGTTAACTGTGGACAAGGCCTTAAAATGGACACTTAAGATACAAGTTACCTATTGGAAGAGTTCCTGAGTGCAAATTTCACTCTATTTCGGAACAGTTCCACCTCATTATTCACATTGCACAAACTATAACTTTTCTGTAGTTTCATGGCTGCACCTACATGCTAATCTGTTTGCAGCCTCTCCTTACTTGCTGATAAACAGATTGTGTGGTTTCTTTGAATACCTTGTGGAGCTGTGTTGGAAAGCAATGGCACATTCTTTCTGTATTTCTCTGTCCTCTGAATGTGTGTGTTGTCCAGTGGAACAAACTTGGTTTTACACAAACTTTGGTTGATAGAAAATTAGGCTAATTTAAAAAAACACTTGTACAACTGATAATTTTAACGTCTTTGAAAATTTTGCTCTATTATCAACTTCAACTAGTATCAAACTACAGATGACAGTGTCCCATCAATCCACTTATTTGCTTTTCTTTCCAGCAGCATTGATCATACATCTTGGCTCTTCTGCCGAGATATTGAGGATGATAATGTATTATATTTTAAGGGGTTTAGAATTTAAAGTGCATGTTCAGATAACAGAAGTGAGTTTACAACATTGTCATTGGTCTTTTTAATAAAAAGCAAAGGACATCTTAATGAGGTTTTAATGTACCTTAGAGTAAAAGGTCAAAAATAACTTGTACTACAGTCAGGAGTATGATTAAGAGGCAGGTGGGTTCTGTTTCCAGCGGCATAGGTCTTCATGTAGTTAAGAACATAAGAATGGCCATACCATTTATGTTTGTCATTGTAGAACAATGATGAGATTTACATGGCGGTTGAGTATCTATAACTGTTGACCTCTCTATAAGGAGCCAAAATTATGGCCATGATGGTGTGTTAATTTTTAGCCCAATGTATAACTTTCCTGCTGCTTCCTGGAAAATCAATATTGTGTGTGCAGCCTGTAACAATAAAATTGACACTAATGTTCATAATGTATCTTTCACTGTTCAAAAAACATGCTGCAGTGTCCTTTTGTCCTGCAGCTGCAAAATCGTGCCATGACTAAAACAATCCTACTCCACGCCCTGGGACTCTTCTTGAGCTGGGAGAGACAGCAGGGGAAAAACCACACACCATCAATCAGTTTTCACACCTTGAACTTGGGTTTGGAAATTGCTTGTTTTAAGAAATAGAAACAAGTCCAAATAGATTGTTGTTATAGACTATTTAACTTTTTTAAAAATCTGCTATCTTGACATAGCTATGCTCAAACAGAGTGGGGTGAGAAACTAAAAAGATAAATAAAATATGGTTTAGAAATTCTTTAGGTAATAAATAATTCAAGAATTTCTTCTGTTGATTATTTCACCATCTGTTTCTTGCTGCTATCTTGTTAACCAGAGGTGGCTGTGGATTATTAAGCAGAAGGATGTATAAATGATGAGTCCGTGTACAGTTGCGTCCACCTCTGCCAAATGACTGTAGGACCATACCTTTCGACTGAGATTGAGCATATCCCTTGCATAAGCTGTTTTGGAAAGGAGGCTGGCCTTATTGTCAAGGCATAGGACAGGACTTGGAAAACCTGGCTTGCGTTTTCAGTTCTGCTGCAGGCTTCCTATGTGACCGTGGCAAGTCACGTCGTTGGGTATGTGCTGCGTCAGGATGGGGATGATAATGCTTCCTTTTTACCCGTCTATCTTGCTTGCTTAGGGTGTGTCTACACTACGGAATAAGGTCGAATTTATAGAAGTCGTTTTTTTAGAAATCGGTTTTATATATTCGAGTGTGTGTGTCCCCACAGAAAATGCTCTAAGTGCATTAAGTGCATTAACTCGGCGGAGTGCTTCCACAGTACCGAGGCTAGAGTTGACTTCCGGAGTGTAGCACTGTGGGTAGCTATCCCACAGTTCCCGCAGTCTCCGCTGCCCATTGGAATTCTGGGTTGAGATCCCAATGCCTGATGGGGCTAAAACATTGTCACGGGTGGTTCTGGATACATATCGTCAGGCCCCCGTTCCCTCCCTCCCTCCGTGAAAGCAAGGGCAGACAATCATTTTGCGCCTTTTTTCCTGAGTTACCTGTGCAGACGCCATACCACGGCAAGCATGGAGCCCGCTCAGGTAACCGTCACCCTATGTCTCCTGGGTGCTGGCAGATGTGGTACTGTATTGCTACACAGTAGCAGCAACCCATTGCCTTCTGGCAGCAGACGGTGCAGTACGACTGGTAGCTGTCATCGTCATGTCCGAGGTACTCCTGGCCACGTCAGCTGGGAGCGCCTGGACAGACATGGGCGCAGGGACTAAATTTGGAGTGACTTGACCAGGTCATTCTCTTTAGTCCTGCAGTCAGTCCTATTGAACCGTCTTATGGTGAGCAGGCAGGTGATACGGATTGCTAGCAGTCCTATTGCATCATCTTCTGCCGGGCAGCCATGAGATGTGGATGGCATGCAGTCCTTCTGCACCGTCTGCTGCCAGCCAAAGATGTAAAAGATAGATGGAGTGGATCAAAACAAGAAATAGACCAGATTTGTTTTGTACCCATTTGCTTCCCTCCCCCCCCCCCCCGCCCAGGGGACTCATTCCTCTAGGTCACACTGCAGTCACTCACAGAGAAGGTGCAGCGAGGTAAATCTAGCCATGTATCAATCAGAGGCCAGACTAACCTCCTTGTTCCAATAAGAACAATAACTTAGGTGCACCATTTCTTATTGGAACCCTCCATGAAGTCCTGCCTGAAATACTCCTTGATGTAAAGCCACCCCCTTTATTGATTTTTAGCTCCCTGAAGCCAACCCTGTAAGCCGTGTCGTCAGTCGCCCCTCCCTCTGTCAGAGCAACGGCAGACAATTGTTCCGCGCCTTTTTTCTGTGCGGACGCCATACCAAGGCAAGCATGGAGGCCGCTCAGCTCACTTTGGCAATTAGGAGCACATTAAACACCACACGCATTATCCAGCAGTATATGCAGCACCAGAACCTGGCAGAGCGATACCGGGCGAGGAGGCGACGTCAGCGCAGTCACGTGAGTGATCAGGACATGGACACAGATTTCTCTGAAAGCATGGGCCCTGCCAATGCATGCATCATGGTGCTAATGGGGCAGGTTCATGCTGTGGAATGCCCATTCTGGGCTCGGGAAACAAGCACAGACTGGTGGGACCGCATAGTGTTGCAGGTCTGGGACGATTCCCAGTGGCTGCGAAACTTTCGCATGCGTAATGGCACTTTCATGGAACTTTGTGACTTGCTTTCCCCTGCCCTGAAGCGCATGAATACCAAGATGAGAGCAGCCCTCACAGTTGAGAAGTGAGTGGCGATAGCCCTGTGGAAGCTTGCAATGCCAGACAGCTACCGGTCAGTTGGGAATCAATTTGGAGTGGGCAAGTCTACTGTTGGGGCTGCTGTGATGCAAGTAGCCCACGCAATCAAAGATCTGCTGATATCAAGGGTAGTGACCCTGGGAAATGTGCAGGTCATAGTGGATGGCTTTGCTGCAATGGGATTCCCTAACTGTGGTGGGGCCATAGATGGAACCCATATCCCTATCTTGGCACCAGAGCAACAAGCCGGCGAGTACATAAACCACAAGGGGTCCTTTTCAATAGTGCTGCAAGCCCTGATGGATCACAAGGAATGTTTCACCAACATCAACGTGGGATGGCCGGGAAAGGTACATGACGCTCGCATCTTCAGGAACTCTGGTCTGTGTCAAAAGCTGCAGGAAGGGACTTTATTCCCAGATCAGAAAATAACTGTTGGGGATGTTGAAATGCCTATATGTATCCGTGGGCACCCAGCCTACCCCTTAATGCCATGGCTCATGAAGCCGTACACAGGCAGCCTGGACAGTAGTCTGGGGCTGTTCAACTACAGGCTGGTGGTAGAATGTGCATTTGACGTTTAAAGGCGCACTGGCGCAGTTTACTGACTCGCTTAGACCTCAGCGAAACCAATATTCCCACTGTTATTACTGCTTGGTGTGTGCTCCACAATATCTGTGAGAGTAAGGGGGAGACGTTTATGGCGGGGTGGGAGGTTGAGGCAAATTGCCTGGCTTCTGGTTACGCGCAGCCAGACACCAGGGCGGTTAGAAGAGCACAGGAGGGCGCGGTACGCATCAGAGAAGCTTTGAAAACCAGTTTCATGACTGGTCAGGCTACGGTGTGAAAGTTCTCTTTGTTTCTCCTTGATGAAATCCCCCGCCCCTTGGTTCACTCTATTTCCCTGCAAGCTAACGACCCTCCCCTCCTCCCTTTAATCATTGCTTGCAGAGGCAATAAAGTCATTGTTGCTTCACATTCATGCATTCTTTATTTATTCATCACACAAACAGGGGGATGACTACCAAGGTAGCCCAGGAGGGGTGGTGGAGGAGGGAAGGAAAATGCCACATAGCACTTTAAAAGTTTACAACTTTAAAATTTATTGAATGCCAGCCTTCTTTTTTTGGGGCAATCCTCTGTGGTGGAGTGGCTGGTTGGCCGGTGGCCCCCCCACCGCGTTCTTGGGCGTCTGGGTGTGGAGGCTATGGAACTTGGGGAGGAGGGCGGTTGGTTACACAGGGGCTGTAGTGGCAGTCTGTGCTCCAGCTGCCTTTGCTGCAGCTCAACCATGCACTGCAGCATACTGGTTTGGTTGTCCAGCAGCCTCAGCATTGAATCCTGCCTCCTCTCATCACGCTGCCACCACATTTGTGCTTCAGCCCTGTCTTCAGCCCGCCACTTACTCTCTTCAGCCCGCCACCTCTCCTCCCGGTCATTTTGTGCTTTCCTGCACTCTGACATTATTTGCCTCCACGCATTCATCTGTGCTCTGTCAGTGTGAGAGGACAGCATGAGCTCAGAGAACATTTCATCACGAGTGCGTTTTTTTCTTTCTTTCTAATCTTCACTAGCCTCTGGGAAGGAGACGATCCTGTGATCATTGAAACACATGCAGCTGGTGGAGGAAAAAGAAGGGACAGCAGTATTTAAAAAGACACATTTTATAAAACAGTGGCTACAGTCTTTCAGGGTAAACCTTGCTGTTAACATTACATACATAGCACATGTGCTTTCGTTAAAAGGTCGCATTTTGCCTCCCCCCACCGCGTGGCTACCCCCTCAACCCTCCCCCTTCCCCGTGGCTAACAGTGGGGAACATTTCTGTTTAGCCACAGGCAAACAGCTCAGCAGGAATGGGCTCCTCTGAATGTCCCCTGAAGAAAAGCACCCTATTTCAACCAGGTGACCATGAATGATATCTCACTCTCCTGAGGATAACACAGAGAGATAAAGAACGGATGTTGTTTGAACGCCAGCAAACATACACTGCAATGCTTTGTTGTACAATGATTCCCAAGTACGTGTTACTGGCCTGGAGTGGTAAAGTGTCCTACCATGAAGGACACAATAAGGCTGCCCTCCCCAGAAACCTTTTGCAAAGGCTTTGGGAGTACATCCAGGAGAGCCGCGAATGCCAGGGCAAAGTAATCCTTTCACATGCTTGCTTTTAAACCATGTATAGTATTTTAAAAGGTACACTCACCGGAGGTCCCTTCTCTGCCTGCTGGGTCCAGGAGGCAGCCTTGGGTGGGTTCGGGGGGGTACTGGCTCCAGGTCCAGGGTGAGAAACAGTTCCTGGCTGTCGGGAAAAGCGGTTTCTCCGCTTGCTTGCTGTGAGCTATCTACAACCTCATCGTCGTCGTCGTCGTCCCCAAAACCTGCTTCCATGTTGCCTCTATCTCCATTGAAGGAGTCAAACAACACGGCTGGGGTAGTGGTGGCTGAACCCCCTAAAATGGCATGCAGCTCATCATAGAAGCGGCATGTTTGGGGCTCTGACCCGGAGCGGCCGTTCGCCCCTCTGGTTTTCTGGTAGGCTTGCCTCAGCTCCTTAAGTTTCACGCAGCACTGCTTCGGATCCCTGTTACGGCCTCTGTCCTTCATGCCCTGGGAGATTTTGACAAAGGTTTTGGCATTTCGAAAACTGGAACGGAGTTCTGATAGCACGGATTCCTCTCCCCATACAGCGATCAGATCCCGTACCTCCCGTTCAGTCCATGCTGGAGCTCTTTTGCGATTCTGGGACTCCATCATGGTCACCTCTGCTGATGAGCTCTGCATGGTCACCTGCAGCTTGCCATGCTGGCCAAACAGGAAATGAGATTCAAAAGTTCGCAGTTCTTTTCCTGTCTACCTGGCCAGTGCATCTGAGTTGAGAGTGCTGTCCAGAGCGGTCACAATGGAGCACTCTGGGATAGCTCCCGGAGGCCAATACCGTCGAATTGTGTCCATAGTACCAAAAATTCGACCCGGCAAGGCCGATTTAAGCGCTAATCCACTTGTCAGGGGTGGAGTACGGAAATCGATTTTAAGACCCCTTTAAGTCGAACTAAAGGGCTTCATCGTGTGGACGGGTGCAGGTTTACATCGATTTAACGCTGCTAAATTCGACCTAAAGTCCTAGTGTAGACCAGGGCTTAGATTGTAAGCTGTTTAGGGCAGTTACGTCTCTCATTGTGTTTGTACAGCACTTAGCACAATGGGGCTGCGAACTTGGTTAGATGCTACCATAGCAAATAATAGTAATGCTGAAGATTCCCCTTTGGCAGGCAACGTTTCCACTTTACTGCCAGGGACAGTTCAAGCAGACAAGCTAGCTTAGAAGGAATTGCTTTAATTTCCTTTTCTTATGGATGTCCGTACTCCAGGCTTCATGATCACTCTTCTGTGGTGCTCACAGGCCAGGTGCCAGCTCATTCCAAGGTCCCCTTGTCTCCATTGAACACTGACAAATACACAGCTGGAACCAGTCTGCTCACCTGTGTGTTAGTATTGTTAAAATAGGCATTAGAATTATAAGGGTGTGCTTAGTGTTTAGGCTTTATGGAATGCCTGTGAGTTGCTGCCTGCCTTAATCTCAGTTATAATATCGGTATCCATATTGTAAGGTAACATTTGAGCGTTTCTTTTGTAAGCCTCTGTAATTGTGTAAATCACCAGACTAGTGTGAAACGCTGGTCTCCAACAGAGGTTTTATGTCTTGCCAATCAAGGAAGGCTTCCCTATACTTGATGGACTAGTGTGGAATGTTAAAGAGGACTAAAGACTTTGTTGTTTACTCTTCCCCCTCAACCCCTCCATTAAGATGAGTGATGCAAGAGATTTCCTCCCATCAGCTGAGTCTGCAGCTCAAAGCAGAGTGGGGAAAGGGAATAAAAACTCCTAATAAGGAACTATATCTTTATGTGGCTTGGACCCTGGGGGGCATAAGCAAAAGATCTCAGTGCTTAGACAGGGTTAGCCCTAAAAGACCTATAGAGCTTGCTTATTATTGGAGCTTCTATTACTTTTTGAATCTTAAGATTGGAACTCACTTGTGGTTATATATATTTACTTGCTTTATCCTTGTAAATAATTGTCATTTGCTTTTCGTATATAATAAATCTTTAGATAGTTTATTATAGGATTGGCTACAAGTGTTGTCTTTGGTGTGAGATCTAAAGTGCAGTTGGCATGGGGTAAATTACTGTTCTTTGGGACTGAAGTAACCAGAATATTGCTGTGATACTTGGTGTAAGGGACCATCTGTCACAAAGGTAGGCTCACCTGGGTGGCAAGACGAGTCGGTGTACCCAAGGAGACTGTGATTTCATGTTAAGACAGTTATAGTGCCTAAGGAGTTTACACTTGATAATTGGTTGGTGAAATCTAAGTATTGAGCTCACAACCATTTGGGGTTTGTGCCCTGGTTCTTAACAATCTGCCCTGCCATTGGTGCTCATGCCTTGAGTCAGTGCAGGACAGCTTGACGCATTCATTGTGATTATACTTGACTTAAATGCAACTTTTTTTTTCAGGAAACAGACTACTACCCTGCCATCCCCTTGCGAGAGCTGTACCTCAAGCCCAAAACACTTGACCAGAAATAGACAGTGTGTGTCGAAAAGCAGCATTCCTCACCAGGTACTAGTTAACAGATCCATAAGGTCAGTTAGGAAAAAGTCGTCAGCCTGAAATCTGTAAAATGTTGTAGCTAATGCTTTATGATACGTGACAAATTATCATTATTTCCTTCAGCTGTGGTTTTTAATTGATTTATCAGGCTGTATTCTTCAGGTGGTCATGCAGTGATCCGATGTAATTCTATTGGAATTCCCTTATAACTTAGGAGCAATATATACATGCATACTCTAAAGTTTGGTAGTGCATAACATAGGTTCTTTGAAGTACAGACCTTGTCTGCAAAACATCAAGTATGTTGGTGCCAAGTAAATAATGATACACTGGGTTGGATTAGTTCAGGGATCAGCAGCCTTTGGCAGGCGGCCCATCAGGGAAAGCCGCTGGTGGGCCAGGCTGGTTTGTTCACCTGCAGCGTTCGCAGGTTCAGCCAATCGCAGCTCCCATTGGCTGCAGTTCGCCGTTCCAGGCCCACGCTGGCTGTGGTAAGAGGTGGCCCGGCCTGCACCGCTTCCTGCAGCACCCATTGGCCTGGAACGGTGAATCGGAGCCAGTGGGAACTGCGATCGGCTGAACCTGCAGACGCTGCAGGTAAACAAACTGTCCCGGCCCACCAGCGGCTTTCCCTGACGGGCCGCGTGCCAAAGGTTGCCAATCCCTGGATTTAGTTCATCTGTTAGCTAATGTTTTGCTCCTAAAATATCATCTAAGTACTTGTTTAATTTCATTTGTGTTAATGTCTTCAACCAACATAAATATTTGGTGTGGGTGTGTGTCGAGAAAATCAGTTACTTTAAACTAAGCACACAGGGCAAAATGATTGTGAGTTACTCAGTTACTGAGTCATAGATAGCACAGAGTACCCAGAGAGTACATAGTACATCATTAAGGTAAATGTATCTTTTAGGCATCTTAGAAAATTTTGCATTTGAGACCCTGTCTCAGGTGCTTTTGATGAGAATGTCAAATAGATGCTCAGCTTGGTTTCACACGGAATAAACAGAAGGTAACTTTTTAAAGGAGCATAGGGGTCATCTTATCCTACTACATGAGCATGATACAAGTTAATCTTGGCCTTGAGACGTCTAAGATGTTGCTCAGTTTCTGTGGTGACGGGTGTCTGTTACTTGTGATAGGTTGCAAGAACTTGTTGGATAGTGTATCTGACACACTAGCAGCTTTGATTAATCTAATTTAATAATCTAGAAGGAAGAATAGATGGTGCTAAGTAAGAGTCTCTGCCTCAACACTACAAATAGGAAAATGGAGTTTGAGATCCCCATGGTTTTGGTAATTAAATATTCATGGTAAATAAGCCCAATGGCCTGTGATGGGATATTAGATGGGGTGGGATCTGATTACCCAGGAAAGAATTTTCTGTAGTATCTGGCTGGTGAGTCTTGCCCACATGCTCAGGGTTTAGCTGATCGCCATATTTGGGGTCGGGAAGGAATTTTCCTCCAGGGTAGATTGGAAGAGGCCCTGGAGGTTTTTCTCCTTCCTCTGTAGCATGGGGCATGGTCACTTGCTGGAGGATTCTCTGCTCCTTGAAATCTTTAAACCACGATTTGAGGACTTCAATAGCTCAGACATAGGAGAGAGGTTTTTCTCAGGAGTGGTGGGTGAAATTCTGTGGCCTGCATTGTGCAGGAGGTCAGACTAGATGATCATAATGGTCCCTTCTGACCTAAATATCTATGAATCCCTTTCTAGCAGGACTTTTCTTACAAAAAACATATTTGCTTTGCCTACGCTGGGGAAACTGACATAAGGATTACCATCAGTTCTAAAAATGGTTCAGCTGAACTGTTATTAGAACTGGTGGGACTTTTGTTTTGTTTTGTCAATGTGCCCGGTATGGCCATGGCTATTGAGAACCTGGAAACTTGTGCTGCCTTCAAATCTTGAGTTTTACCTGAACAAGTAAAGGACTTTGATCCAGTTGTGTTGAGCTATCGCTGCCTCCTGCTCTATTTTTGTTGAAGAGGGTAGAGTTAGGAACAAAAACCTCTGATCTCTTGGCCATTTAGCCATATGAATTTAGAACCTAAGTTTTGTTAAGATGGCTTATGGAGTCCAAGGAAGAAGCACACTGATGGTGGAGAGGTAATCGTCAGGAAAGCCCTCCTTGCACTTTCCAACAGATGAGTGGAGAGCATAATCCTTAAAACACCTGTGGGAAGGAAAGGCATTGTACACTGGACATCAGGAACAAGACCCTGTTCTGTTTTAACCTGCACCCACACAGGCAGGCAAAAAGGCAGACTGCTTTCTGCTGTTAAGTTCTGTCTACAGTATGGAGTTTAACCTATTGAAAATCCCGTTCAGCTGAACTGGTGGGAGTCCACTGTAGAAATGGCTCCAGTGACCAGACCCATTTTGTGTGCTAGCACACTGGTGAAAATGCATCCAGCCACCGGAGCCTGATGTACGTTTGGGCTCCCAGAAGTTCAGATGAACTGGTGAACATAAGGGAAGGGTAGTTTATGTTTAATTCCCTAGTGAGGATGTAGACAAAGTCAGAGATCTAGGGATGACAAGGCTGAAAAATACCCCCGCTGCTGCAGAGGAGACAGTTTTATGCTGGGAGAGTATTAACTCCAAGAGGAGGGCAGGCAATATTTCCTTACCCCCCTGTTTTGGGGGTTCTTCAGGGATAGGTGCAGCTGTAACTTTCACACTGCTTTGGAGAGGATAGCAACAGGGATGTGCTGAATCAGCAGGGGTGATGCGATGAGACACAGCAGATAAGGGGAGAAAGAGAGTTGTGAAGGTGGATTTATGCTGTCAAGGAACGACTTGGTTAAAGAGCTGCTAAAGCCTGTTGGAGCTTATTTTTTTCCTTAACTGATATTCTTTACAAGCAAAGTTTTTTATTTATTGTATGTCAGATGCTTTCTGTATTTCTCTCCACTTACCCTTGATAAATATGGTAATCTCCGTGAAAGCAGGATCTTTCTTTCCCTGTGGTGTGTCTGCTTGTTCTGCTCGTGACCTAAACGTTGATTATTGTGGAAAAGATTTTTAATACTAGTGGAACTTGCCTTCATCAACTCCCATTGCCATTTCTCTCACTTGAACTCACTATTGTCTCACAGATGTGATTAATAATCAAGACCTGTGAAAGAGAAGTGAAGAATACAGGAGATGGACAATGGAAACAAAATAATTTTTAAACAGAATGTTTTTATGTCCTCTATTCTAAAATAGTCTAGGGGAGTTTTGCCTGTGAAATGAGTGCTGAGTGGGTCCTCTTTTTAATGTGGTTCTGCAGAGAGAAGAGCCTATATTAATTAGGGCATTAAAATTGCTCCTCTTTTTGTTCCAAATTTTTAGTAGTACAGTGCATTTAATAATAATAACAACAATAATAATATAATAATACCGGGCTCTTAGCTTAATCACTAGATATCAAAGCATTATACAAAAGAGGTCAGTATCATTAACCCCATTTTAAGATGGGGGAAACTGAGGCACAGAATGGTGATCTAGAAGGCCAGTGGCAGGGTCAGGAATAGATCCCAGGTCTCAGTACCAGTTCAGTGCTCTATCCAGGAGACCAGGGGTCGTCAGTTTTTTTTTTTTTCTCAAGCTCTGGACTTCAGAGAAAATAATTAAAAAATAACAACAATAATAATAATAAGTAAATAAAAAGATTTCGGGGGCTGTTCAAAAGCATCTGGTGGTCCGGATTTGGTCCATGTTCTGCCTATTGTACAATAGACTGTACTGCCTCTCCCATTTGCTATGGTTCAGGATGCTGTTGCATGTATTTCAACATTATACAGTCGGTGAAAATCTATTCAGAGTAAACCATTGCTTGGTACTACGTGCTCATGATGTTTTGGATTGTATTTTAGCATAAGAAAATTCTGGGCTCACTGCTAAAAATCTTATGTAAACAAAGTGGCCAAGGAGCTCTAAACTAGCACTATAAACAAATTGATAGGTTTGGTATCTTGGTCTTTAAAGTATAATGTTGTTCTTAATATAGTGATCTCTCTGCAGTGGGTTTTTAATCTAGTCTGTCACAGTGGCTGAAAAAAATTTTCACTTTGTGAACTGTAATCAAGTGCCAGTCATAACAATTCATCTTAAAGTTTAACACATTTTCTCACTCTACTCTTCCATTAATATAAACTACTTTAAAATTTTCAGTTCCGTTTGTGTTGCATCTCTACACTGAAAAAGAGTAACCTGCTTTTCCGGGCAGAGTTGAAAATGTGTAGATATCTGGTGGTGGTTCTTTTGTAGTCATAGAAGCCAGACTAGGAGTAGCCACAAGTGCCCTATGCAGTTCTACGGTGGCTGTTATCCCATTGACACAACAGATTATGAAGTGAGCTGTAGCTCACGAAAGCTCATGCTCAAATAAATTGGTTAGTCTCTAAGGTGCCACAAGTACTCCTTTTCTTTTTGAAAATCAAACATTGTACACAGAGACCTGTAATCTCTGCATGCTGCGTCTCTGCATTAAAGCTGAGTGCAGCGTCGGTATGCTATGTCTTGTAGATTTTATCTTGCACTTCTTTGGGCATTCCTGCACTAGCTAGTCCCCTAAGCAGTGCTGAAGGCTCATTCTATTGGATGCCTTCTGCCCCCCAAGTCACTATAAAAGATATTAATAAATCCATCACTTTCAATCATTAAGGCTAGACAAACTGTTTTATGTGTAATTTGGAATGCTGTTTGCCATCAACCTGTAAAATCTATGATGTAGGGGAAGAGGGCTTAACAGCATGGTATTCTTACAAGATAATTGATAGCACCTTTCATCAGAGGATCTTAATTAATTTTACTGTGGTATGTGTTAGCCCCATTTTATGGATAGGGGAAACTGAGAGACACAGCTGACCTGCCCAAGATTATATAGGAATCTGAGGAAGAGCTGGGAATAGAACCCAGATCTTCTGGGCTAAGATTTTTAACACTAGATGCCTAAAATTAAGCTTCTAAGTCCTTATTTAGGTGCCCGAATAAGTGGTCTAATTCTCACAAGTATCCAGCTGTAACAGAGTATACCCCTGTAGTCACACCCTACTCACTATTGTAATAATCTTTATCCAAAGTATGCCTTGTAAGGTATCATTTGAAAACTCATGAATTGCTGGTCAATATTGTCCTGGTAAAATGTGTATGACAACATAGTATATGAAGTTATAAGATCCCACTGTATGATGTTGTTAACAAACCCCACAGCCCTACCCAAGCAGAAGTTGGCAAACAGGTCTGTCCTAAACAAAGGAATGTGTGCTCTGGTTCATTTGCATTTAAGCAGTAAGCAGAGTCATCAAGCAGGAAGGGAATACAAAGGAAGTTAAAGCAGGTGAAAAAACAAGCAGGGAATATCCTTCCACATAGCCTCTTTGGCTCCTGGTTATCAGCTGGAAACGTTTTTCAGGAGAGAGACTGAAACTATAAAGAGGGGGGACAAACACCCCTCGGCATCCTTCTCACTCTCTGCCCATCGCATTTACTGCACCTAAGAGACAAATGGGGAGAAGTAATTGGACTCTGGTGGAGGAATCCTGACCTAGAGAGTTTGGTCTGTAATCTGCTGGAGCATATGATGAGAAAGTTTGCATTGCAACTAAGAAAATTTCTTAAGTAGATACTAGTAAGAGTTTTATCTTTTTCTTGTAACCATTTCTGACTTTTATGCATCATTACTTAAAATCTCTCTTTGTAGTTAATAAACTTGTTTTGTTGTTTTATCTAATCCAGTGTGTTCAAATTGAAGTGTCTGGATAACCTCATTTGGAGTAATGTGTGCATATTATTCCCTTTAAAGGAATAATGGACTCAAATACAATGTATTTGTACTCTCCAAGAGAGGGTTGGGCAGTATGGGACATATATGTTTCTGGGGAAAATCTGAGACAGGGAGTGTTTTGGGGTCACCCTGTGGTGATTTTTAAGGATGGTAAGAGCTAAAGTGTAGCTGACTGGCTGCACCACACACAGAGACATAGCTGGGAGCAACTTACACGCTGAAGGCTGTTTGTGAGCAGCAAGGCATTGTAAAGGGCACCTCAGGTTAGAGGGTAGGGGTGACACAGCTACTCATTAGTCTAGGTTGTACCCTGGTATGTCACACTGGCATCTCTCACTGAAGTGTTCCTAGTCCCCTGATTTTACCACTATATATATCATTGCCTGGTAATCATGACATTGACATAAATATTACATGTAAAAATACATAAATATGTTTGTTGGAAAATCCAGGAAAAAGGCACAGTTCAGAAATGATAAAATACAGCATAATTCACAACGTAAAAAATAACCACCTGGTTTTGATTAGTACAACCAGTTGCCAGTCAATGGGGAATATTGTTTGGCAGGAGTGTGTGTGCTGATTACTACAAGATACAAATTAAAAATAATGTTAAAATGTTACAGTCTGGAGTGTTCTTGCTGAAGCTGGTGGCTGCACAATTCCTTCATTCACAGTAATATTTGATAATTTGCAGAAGTAATAACTGGTTTCTCATGACCATGTGCTCCAGCAAGTCATCTCTCTAAATTGCTGCTGCACAGAATGTAGATTGTTCGCCTGTGGTCAAATTCAATATCTGCTTTGTGTATTTAAACTAAAGAGCACAATGGGAGGTGAGGTTATGGAGAGAGGAGTTTGCACACTTGTCGTATAGTTCAGTGATGTTTAATTCTCCTAGGAATGGGATTGATTTTAAAATATCACTCCTTGCAATGCCCCTGTGCACATGGAGTTGCAGCGGTGGCCTCTTCATCTTGTTTGGCATGTAAAATAATGACTGGATTGTGTAAGCTGTGATTCACAGATATCCCTTCGGTCCCCTCTAGAACAGACAACGAGAATGCTATACTATTATTTTGAAATGGTAGTTCTGCTCTTGCATAACCATTCCCACTGCAGTATGCCATGTAAGGGGGGGACAGGTGAGTGTTCCCACTTAATGATTTTCAGAGAGTTAGGTAACATTCCAGCAGGGCATGCTGCACTCCCTCAGAATATTCTCTCTCGCAGGTCCCCAGGGCACTGAGACCTGTGAGAGGGAGAATTAACTGTGGTGTTAGGAAGTGAGCAGAAGAAGCTCTAGGTGTGAAGCTGACAGTGGCTTATGTTTTGACTTAGTGGTGGGTCAGTGGGTGTGTTAGTTGTATGATACAGAATGGATCCCATTGTGGCCGGAGAGACACTTATGGTCCTCCAGGCACTAAACTGGGGCCTTTAAGGGCAACTTGTGAGTGATATACACATTTTCTTCCTATGTGTTAAAAATATGCTCCCTGAGACATGCCCTCAGACCCTGTGGCTTTGCTTCGGCTTTGATTTATCACTACGCGGAGATTGGGAGCAGTGTTTGCTCCACTGCTTTCCCTGCTGCACCCAGAGTAGCTTTGGTGTGAGCCAGGAGTGATCTGAGCAGTTGCTGTCCCTTCCCTGCCATTTCAGGTCAGCACATCCCCGGCACTGCAGAAGAGGGAAGAGAATGGTAGCTGTGGCTACTCCATTGCCTGCTTACCAGCCAGGCTGAGGGAGCTCCTGGGAGAGCAAGATAGGAGCTTGACTAGCTCTGCCTGAACTTAGGAGGGGACCTAGCAAGGGGTGGCTCGCCTCCCACCCACTACCCTCCTCCACCCAGGGTAGTCCAGGAGTGGGGAAAAGGAAGAGAAGCTGAGAGCAGCATGGGGTCTTCTCTAACTTGTGCCAGCTGGCTATGGTCCCCAAGGGACCGACCACCTGCTGGCTGGGGATAGCTGGAGAATGCTGCATTCCTGCCCTTAACAAGCCTCGTGCTCTATGCTTGCTGGGGATTGCTTACCCTCCCCTTACCACATAAATTCCTGGCAAGGGACTTGCAGATGATTTCTCTTCCTTTTACAGTACAGAAAATGAGAGAGAGGGGACGATGGGCTTCCTGAAATAAGTTTGTCCCTCAGGATGAAAAGATTGGACGTTGTTTCTATAAAATATTTGGCTGCAATTTTCCTTTGTTGTTCTGCAATGGAACGAACTGAAGACAAGTGTGTGTTCTGAATTTAAGTCCTCATTACAAATTTTGCCCTTTCAGGGTGCTGCTGCATAGCAGTACTCTTTGTGAGGGATAGTTTAGAAAGAAGGATTTGGAGACTGAA